GGCCCCGACAGCAGGGGCAGAGGCCGGGACTCCGTAGCGTGGCTGTGCGTGTCCTGCCCCAGCGCTGGTGCCACGGGAATAACCCAGACGCCGAGCCAGAGGGGCCGGGACCACGTGGCTCATGCGACGTGGGAAACTACGGAGACGGGAAAGGACAGGACAAATGAGCCTGGGTCCTGACCAGAGGACACGGCTTTGTGGAGGAGCGATCACAGAACGACATTCGGTGAAAAAACAATAAAACTGCCCATGGGGTCGGGGGTGGTTTTTATTTCCCTCCTTCGTTCTCATTCATGTTTCCCTACGTTTCCACAGTGACGGGGCCACGTTATAATTAGAAAAAAGAGAGCTTATTTTTGAAGCAGGCAGGAGGCTGGGAACACACGGTGGCAGGACGTCCAGGGACAGGCAGACGCACTCGAGACAGACGGACTTCCGTGTCTAGATAAGGGCCTCACTCAGCCGGCTCTGCGTACGGAAGGTTCTAGATAACAAGGAGAGTCTACACAGGGACAACAGGGTTTTAAAAAACGCCACTTTTCCCAAAAAGGCTGATCTGTGGCTCTGAAAAGGTGAGAAAGAAGCAGCAAGAAGAGCTGAGGACATCGGTTCCGGTTCTGCCGGGACCCTGGGCAGCGGCGTTGGTGGAACCGGCCAGCTGGGAGCAGGGGGCGCAGGTTGGGCCGGGGAAATGCCACAGAGGGGCTCCTCCCGGCTGGACCCTCCTCCAGGACCCGGACAGCCGGCCTTCCACCTGGGCCGTGCTCTGCTCGGCGGGGGAAACACGCTCCCGGTGGTGCCCTTAGAGCATGCAGACCGTCGCGGGCGTCTCCTTCATGGCACCGTCTCCAGGTGTGGCCGCGGGTCTGAGGAGCCCGTGAGTGCAGGGCGGCCCGTGTTCCCTCCCCAGGCACACGCTGCAGGGGCCACAGGAGCACCTGCTGGACAGCCGGGCCTCAGGGTCAGATCAGGCTGACGCTGGTCCTGCGAAGGGCACATGACACAGCGCCACGGGGCAGAATGGGCTCGCGCTGCAGGCGCGCTGGGCTCAGGCACAGCCTCTCGGGCCTGTCTCTCCGTCTGCCAGCCGGGGTGACCAGCTGCACCGCCCCGGGGCCGCTGCCATCACCTAATGCCAGCCAGGTCCAGGCGTCTCGCCGTCGGAATGTTGTGAACTTCCTGCCTGTGGCTGGGCAGCAGGCTGCTTGATCTTCCGTGCTTGTCTTCCCAATGCTGCGTTGTCAC